GGTGGGAGGAGCACCTGGGGAGGGGGAGGCAAAAGGGCGAGGCAGGGACCTACTGCGGTTGTATACCCCTGACACTGGCATATCATAACACTGCAGTGCAAGCACTGGTAGCAAAGTGTACACATCCTTGAGGAAACAGGCAAATTAACAAGTTTTCCTTCACAAAAGGAGCTGCCTAAGGTCATGGATGTTGTCTCTTGCAACAGTTTAGCTGCAGTCAGTAAGTACTGGACACACTGTGCAGAGGTGGATCTGTCTGTGCAGCACAGACACATGCGTTTGTGCAGAGAAATCCCAAAGCAGCTTGTTCCCCATATTGTAGAACATGAGACGCTGCCCCCTCCAATGCAATGATAATCATGCCATCAACTTTCTAGTAGAGAGTTGCTCTGCTTTTCTAGATGTTACATATAATTCTGTGACAGTAAAGTGAAGGTCAGAGCAGTAATTATGTATGCTCTTGTCAGTGTCATCAACTGAATAATAATGCAAAATATGCAAAGACATAGTCTAGAAGTATAGTTATGTTCTCTCCTACATTTTTAGTCCTATCAAAATCTCTACACAATTATATAACAACTTTGTGTGAACACCTGCATTCTTTTGCACTCGTCAGGGCTATTAAAAGTGACAGACTACGTTGTCTGATCATAATCACATATTATAGCAAATTCAAACATGTTCATCCAGTTTTCACAGGGTCATGCACTGAACTATCTCCTTCATTGTCAGGCAAATAAATACACATCTTTGTTTCGGACTGCTGGGAATTTGGAATCCAAGTAATGTACAGGTCTGTGGAGTCAGAATTCAAATCTCTGCTCAGCCATCCTTCCAATGACTTTACTGTGAGAATGGAAGGGAGGAAGGAAAGGAGCTGTGGAGGAAAATGGGCTGAGCAAAGAAAGGTTACCTATTAGACTACAGGGAAAATCTTGAGGTTGAATACTGTTGTGAACATCTGGATAGCTATACACCTTGAATATGCTTTTGGTCTGTGAAAGGATGTTAAGGAGTGTGTGCACAAGTGTATATATGCAGACATATATAAACACATGCATACATATATACATACTCATATAGCAATCTTAAAAAGGATGCCACTATAACAAAATATTTACATTTGCTAAGGGCAAAATTGTGCAGAAATCCAAATATGCAGATTTCTAAAATCAGAAGGTAGTCTGATAAGAAGATCTTCAGATTCTCAGCCATTGCCCTCCTAGGCAAAATAAAGAGTTGTGTTTCAGGAGGCAGTTTTTTGCAGCTCATAAGTGACCATCACAAGCAGATGCAAGTACAGCTACACAAATCTGCATCCATGGAAAATCTGGCTTGAATTGTCTGCCACAGTAACTATCTAGAATATCTTATTGCCTGCTCAGTACTGTTCTTCTGGGAAAGAATAGCCAAAGAGTTGAGAAAAGGAGTCAGTTTATAAAAGAAATCTCATTATTAATATATTGTTTTGAAAAGTCTGCAATAATTTACTAAGTCCCAGGATGAGTGTGTGTTTTGTCAGGATCAGAAGGTAGACATCGATTTGCAGTTGCAGTAGGAATCTTGTCTAAAATATTCAAAATTGTGAACAGCTGTGAGCTCCAGAATGAGTGACACAAGTCTGATCATGATGCACTGGCCTGGAGAACTTAAAAATCGCCAGGACTTTGTTGTCAATCTTTGCAAAGATTGCTTTTAGCAGTGTCTTTCTACTCGAATAAAACAGTATAAAGATATTTGTTGCTTTACCTCTGGAGCTATAGTTATCACTGAACACTCACGGCTTACATTTTATTTTAATTCCCTGATATATATTTCTGAATAAAACACATTATTTGCCTTCGTAAAAATAAGTCATTCGAGGTGATTGTTTAGTTTGCGTATCGCCAAAGGTTATTTTTTAGCTACTTGGGTACTGCCTTCATCTGGGGACATAGCAGGGCGGCTCAAGTTGGAGATGGCAGGAAGGCTGTGGGTAGTTGCCCTGGCTGGGGGAAGGTTGTGAAGGACTTCCATCTGCCAACACGGTGCTGCAGCTGCTGGGTCACTTGGGGCTCAGAACAAGTACAAGCATAGCTTGTTGGTGCTGCTGCGGTAACCCATGCTCCCATGCTGTCTCCCCTTCCTGCCCCCAACTTCTCCAACCACCCACAACACCCAGGAACTTTGTATCCTTTTCTGTTCCTTATTTCTCTTTCTATTCCTGAGACTCCTAGTTCCAAAGCTCTCCACCTTACAGTTTCACTAGCGGGTACACATGCCTGCCACTTAGACAGACCAACAGATAAGCATGCTATCACAGCTGTGTGCCATATATAAAGTAAAAATCAGAAGATTGAGCCTATCTGGCACCAGCCCCAGCCCTATGTTGCCTCTGTGGGGCTTGCTTGGGGGTGTGCACCACTTCTCGTTTGCACAGTGATGTCTTGTGTAATGCCAGTCAAAAAAGAGCACAACACTGCCATCATACAATCTTGGGAGTTGGAAGGGACTTCTGAAGGCCATCTGGTCCAACTCCCCTGCAAAGAACAGGGGCCTCCACAGCTAGATCAGGTTGCTCAGGGTCTTATCCGGCAAAACTGTGGCACAGAGCAGCAAGATGTGCTCATGTTGGCTGTTCTGCAGAGGGCACGTATCGTTCAGGCCTGAGGCAGTAAGTGGTGGTGGCAAAAATCCCCTCAGGTGCTGCATCACTGGAGCTCCTGCCTCTACATATTCCAGAGCTGGAATTTGCCTTATCCCAGAGGAGCCAGTTGCTGAGCTGCAACCCTGTCTTGCCTGCCTCCGCCTCCAGCCCTCACATCCCATTTTCCTGCTGAAAAAATGGAATTTTTCCATTACTTCGGAGAAAGGGAGAAAGAGCACCGCGTTGTCCTTTAGTGATTTCGGGAACTGCTGCCAAATGGTCCAAGCCATTCCTAGGCCCAGGACTATTTCTGTGCTCTACCCAGGGTCTGTTCAGAAAACACAAAGTACAGAAGCAGCCCTGTCCCTCTCAGCAAGCACTCTCAGCTGCAGATGCATGCCCACATGTGTCCTCTCTCTCTGGCCCAGGTAAATCTGGAATTCACTTCTTCAGTAAGTTTCAGTAAGATGGATGGCAGGTGTGTTCTACACTTACCTTTGGTTGAGGAATGGAGAGAAGCAGGGACAAAACTTCTCGAGAAAGAAAAGGAGCAGAATGTAACTTCCCTCTTTTTTTTTTTCTCAGTGCCCAATACATAATGAATCTATTTTGGTGTCTTGGCCACCTACTCTAAGAAATGATGCTTTACACTGGACTTGCTTATGCAAGCAAGTATATAACATTTTTCATCCTTTCTCTACAAAAATTCTAAGCCCTGTGGACTCCTGCTGAATTGCGTGTATGCAAATATAAAAATCCTATTAGCTTTGTTTTACCCTTAGGGCTGATGGCAAGGATGTTACAGGTGGCTACCAACCCCAAAGGGCTCTGCCACCAAGAAATGCCTTTGGAATTGGCAGGCTGAGACATTGCTCCGTGTGTGTGCACAGAGACACACAGAGCTGGAGGACACAGGCAGCTCTGTGCCTTCAGCAGCACCTCCACGCACTGCTACCAGAGCCCATGTACAGCTAAGTGCAGACAGTGGTCAGAGCTGAACTGCTCTTGTGAATGGTAACTACGAAAGGATTTTTTTATCATAGAACCATAGAACTGTTTGAGTTGGAAGGGACCTTTAAAGGTCATCTAGTCCAACTCCTCTGCAATGAACAGGAACACCTACAGCTAGATCAGGTTGCTGTGATGACAGTGAATCAGAAATAATGCAGCTAGTAGGAGCAGGGAGGTGATGGTCCCTTGGCACTGCTGAGGCTGCACCTTAAGTGAGCCCCTTGCTACCAGAAAGACATGGAGGCACTGAGGCCATTGAGTGTGTCCAGAGAAAGACAGTGAAGCTGTGAGGGGTCTGGAGCACAAGTCTTAGAGGGAGCAGCTGAGGGAGCTGGGATTGTTCAGTCTGGAGAAGAGGAGGCTCAGGGGAGACCTTATTGTCCTCTACAACAGCTTGAAAGGAGGCTGTGGCGAGGCGGGGCTTGGCCTCTTCTCCCAGGTAACAGTGATAGGACTAGAGGTAGTAGCTTTAAGTTGCACCAGGGGTGATTCATGTTGGATATTAGGAAAAAATTATTCTCAGAAAGATGGTAAGGTATTGGCATAGGCTGCCCAGGGAGATGGTGGAATTGCTGTCCCTGGAGGTGTCCAAGAATTGTGTGGTTGTGGCACTGAGGGACGTGGGAGTGGGCATGGTGGGAATGGTTTGAATGGTTTGGAGGTTGGATGAGATGATCTTTGGAGTCTTTTCTGACTTTTGTAAGTCTGTTATTCTATGAATCATTGGAACAACCACCCCACGGACTTGATCAGATCCCTATCACTAGAGGACTTGAAGGTACAGTTGAACAGGGTGCTAGGTAATCTCATAGAATCACAGAATCACAGAATGACCTGGGTTGGAGGGGACCTCAAGGATCATGTAGTTCCAACCCCC